CCTCGCTCTTTCCTGGGCTGCCAAAAAGGAAGAGACTTGGGTGGAGGGGGATGTCACTGCCATCCTGGCTGGAGCTAAAATTCCAAACAGTTCATTTTCATTTAATAATTCCCTACTCCCCCAAATTTCCAAATGGGTATTTAGAGGAAATGCTAGTTAGAGAAAACAATGGGGGAGGCCTGGCTAGTTGGAAATACTGCAGCTTATACAGGAGAGTTCTTACTTTTCTTCCTTGTCCTCTCATTGTTTGGAGGTCGTTTTAGCGCTGGTTTGGGATATGCAGCCCTAATAACCTCTACACCAGGGACATGGAGGTGAAAGTTAGAAAATGACAGCGGGCTCGCTCAGTCCTGCCTTTTTGTTAAAAGCAAGTCCAGTTTAAATCTTAGTTTTAAAGTTACTTTGGCACCTGGACTGAGGTGCCTGAAGATAGATTCCTGATGGAGTAGTAGTTGCTGGGAGACTTGTGCTCCCAACTGCTTTAATTCATATCGGTATTTCCTCCTTCCCAAGTTCTGTCGGTTTATTCCAGTCATCTTGCTTTGAATTATATACAGCCTGTATTACATGTTCATCTCATCCCTGTTAGATTGTAAAGTCCTTGCTTGGCCAAATGCCAAGAGCTCCAGGAATGGGGGATTTGGATCTGCCACTGATTTGGCTTGTGATTTGGGGAAGATAATTTAGTTTTGTATTTTAGTGTTACCTATTTTATAATAGAACTAGAGCCCTGGTGCACGAAAATTTGTGCACTGGGGGTGGGGGACACTCAGCCAGGCCTGTACCCTCTCACAGCCTGGGACCCCTTGGGGGATGTCCACCTGCTGGCTTAGGCCCACTCCCTGAGGGATCAGGCCTAAGCTGGCAGTGAGACATCCCTCTGGCAGCCCCGGAGCCCTCGGAGGATGTCCAACTGCCAGATTAGGCCCACTCCCTGCCAAAGCTGCAGTTGAATATCCTTAGCACTGTCGAGGAGGCAGAAGAGGCTTCTGCCACTGCTGCTGCACTCGCAACCATGAGCCCTGCTTGTAGCTGAGCAGAGCTCCCCCTGTGGGAGCGCTCTGACCACTAGGGGGCAGCTCCTGCATTGAGTGTCTGCCCCCTGCTGGTCAGTGCATGTCGTAGCGACCCATTGTTCCTGATAGGTCCACTGTTAGGGTCAATTTGCATACTACCCTTTTATTATATAGGATGATGACCTTTTGTCCTGTGGAGCAACTTGAAAATAAGTATGAAAACTGTACCTCCTAGACCAGTGGTTCTCAACCTTCCTAATGCCGTGACCCTTTAATACAGTTCCTCATGTTGTGGTGACCCCCAACCATAAAATTATTTTTGTTGCTACTTCATAACTGTAATTTTGCTACTGTTATGAATCATAATGTAAATATCTGATATGCAGGATGTAGTTTCATTGTTACAAATTGAACATAATTAAAGCATAATGGTTAATCACGAAAACAATATGTAATTATATATTCAATACGTGTTTTCTGATGGTCTTCGGCAACCCCTGTGAAAGGGTCATTCAACCCCCAAAAGGGTCGCGACCCACAGGTTGAGAACCACTGTCCTAGACGTTACAGATTTGTTTCACTTTGAATCATTCACCCATTGTCAGGCATGGGTTGTCAGTTTGGTTTAGACCAGTGGTTCTCAACCTGTGGGTCACGACCCTTTTGGGGGTTGAATGACCCTTTCACAGGGGTTGCCGAAGACCGTCAGAAAACACGTATTGAATATATAATTACATATTGTTTTCGTGATTACCCATTATGCTTTAATTATGTTCAATTTGTAACAATGAAACTACATCCTGCATATCAGATATTTACATTATGATTCATAACAGTAGCAAAATTACAGTTATGAAGTAGCAACGAAAATAATTTTATGTTGGGGGTCACCACAACATGAGGAACTGTATTAAAGGGTCACGGCATTAGGAAGGTTGAGAACCACTGGTTTAGACCATGAGATCATCATACAGGTGTGACAAAGTGTGCATGGTTCAAAGTATGCTTTTAGCTCTTTTATTTAAAGTATGTTTTTATTGATTTTTAGAGATAGAGGAAAGGAGAGGAATAGAGAAATAGAAACAGTCATCTGCTGGGAATCAAGCACAAAACCCAGGCATGTGCTCTGACCAGGAATTGAACCAGTGACCTCTTGGTTCATGGGTCGATGCTCAACCACTGAACCACATGGGCCAGGCTGAAAATTTACCTCAAGATTTTAGGCCTAATACCTACAGGCTCAATAAAGTGGCCCCTGTCTCACATATACATGCATTTATTATTAGCATTCCTATTTGGTTCTTCTTTTTAAAAAAAATTATAGAAATATTTTCATTGTAAATATTTTAAACCGTGCTAGAATGCAGAAGGAACATGAATGAATGCTCCTCTTCACCATTCTGCAGCAACCCCAACATACGTTTCCCCAGGGGTACCCAGCACTGGGTGAGCACTGTTCCCATCGCCCTCCTCAGGGGGTGCACATATACATGTACCCTGCGGGGTTCCTATTCTGTGTATTATGCAGCGGCTTCTTTTTTTCACTTGCCCATAACAAAGAATGTCTTAGGGACTCTTTCCATGTCAGGCCATAGAGGTCCAACTCATTTTCTTTTCTTGCCTTTGTTGTCGTTGTTGTTGATGGTTATAATATAATTCATTTTATGGGTGTACCTGGTATTTAACTGCTCACCTAGGATGGTCATTAAGGTTTTAGTTTTGATTCTTCATGGACGCAACCTGTGCAAGTACGGCCCTCGGTGCACCGTGCAGCGTTTCCGTTGGACATTTGCCTGGAAGTGGAAATGCTGGCACAGAGTGGATGCCTATTTTTGGTTTTGGTGGATGCTGCCAAACTGTCTTCCCACAGGAATTCGCCAATTTAAGCTCACACCGGTGGGTGTAAGAGTGCTTGTTTCCCCGCCATTATTTTCATTTTTCAGTCTGCTGGGTGAAAAATAGTATGTGATTTGTATCTTTGTCGCTCCGACCCCATCTGATTTCTGCCTTTTAGGAATTCCTCAGTGTTGTCAGTTACTTGATGTCTGTCTGTCCGTCTCTCTCTCTCTCTCTCTCTCTCTCTCTCTCTCTCTCTCTAGTGTAGGGTGAGAATTATTTCTGTCACCTGGTAGAACTTTTACAAGAGGTTGAGTAAACTTTGTGCACTCAATTCACTATCCTCAGAAATACCCCTCGCATTCTTTCTCTACAGTATTTAGAATTTTGTTTCTTTTTTTCTCTTTAACATTATATTATAATCTCTATTCTGTCTTATTGCACAGCAGTGTAACTGGTATATGAAATTCTACTTATGGGTCTATACCAGGGTGGGCAAACTTTTTGACTCGAGGGCCACAATGGGTTCTTAAACTGGACTCAGAAGGAGCTGCGGCCGTGTTTCCCGACGTTGCCATGTTAACACCGCTGCTGGTGAAGGAGCGGAGGGGAGAGCAAGAGAACCCTCCGCTCTTTCGGCTCCGCCGGCCGGATAGAACAGCCGAATGGGCCGGATCCGGCCCGCAGGCCATAGTTTGCCCACGGCTGGTCTATACCATAGTTTTCAAATCATTCTCTATTGATAGACTTTTGGGTTATTTCCAGGATTTTGTTGTCATAAATAACATTGCTTCCAACATGTGAGCATAAAGGCTCTGGGCCCAGATGGTTTTACTGGTGATTGTTTATTGTTCCAGTGCTCTGTGTCATTGATTCCTGAATGTAGACATGGGTAGATCTCTCCTAGCTGACTGTGACCAAACCCCAACACTAATGCCATTCAATAGCAATAGCAAAAAAGCAAAAACTTTAGACCAGCCTCAGTTACAAATGCAGATGTGAAAATTGTAAACAAAACACTCTCAAGTAGAATTCACCAGCATGGCCATAATGGAGAATGGCCAAATAAGGTTTTTGGTTTATTCCGGGAATCAAAGAATCGTTCAATATTAAGAAACCTGTTGATAACAACATATTAGTTTGTTAAATGTGAAAAACTGTTTATCTCCATAGATGCAGAAAATGCGCTTAAATTAAACAGCTGTTTTTAATAATACTTTAAACAGGAAAAAATAAGATGTTTGTTTACATGTATCAAACCAATTGCCAAAAACAGTAGAGGCATTCTCCTTAAAAGCAAGGCCAAAATAAGGCTGCCCTCTACTAGAGTATTTTATTTATTTATTTTTAAAAATATATTTTTGTTGATTTCAGAGAGGAAGGGAGAGGGAAAGAAAGATAGAAATTTCCATGATGAAAGAGAATCATTGATCAGCTGCCTCCTGCACGCCCACACTGGGGATTGAGCCCCCAACCCAAGCATGTGCCCTGATCAGGAATCGAACCGTGAACTCCTGGTTCATAGGTTGAATTCAACCACAGAACCACACTGGCCGGGATCCTTAGAGTATTTTAGAAGCTCTGGCTGATGCACTGAGGTGTGGAATCAGAAGTAAGCCTTTGAGGATTAAATAAGACGACATTCCAACCTTCCTAGTATAGTGCTTTTAATTCAAATGAGGCACTGGAATTACAGGTCTGTTCATTTTTTATTACCAATAAGACACATCCACAAAGGAAGGGCAGATTGTCTCTTGCGTCTTAGCACATGTATCCCTGTGCTTTATGAATGTGAGCCCTTTGATCTCGCTCCTGGTGGTTGAATTGTCCTGATTACCGCTGGTCTGTATGGAGGCCTCTCGGAAGCCTCCGGCACCCGCATAGCGATGGGGCCCCAGGCCTGCGACTGGCCGAGGGGTTTGGTTCAACAGTGTTCCCGATGACCTTTCAATGAGCTGTTCTTAGGGTCCTGGGAGTCTTCAGAGGCTCCCGCCCCGGACGGAGCGGTTTCTGCAGTTACAGATGAGAAGGGTGCGGGGGGCCGCTGTGTAAGCTGCCGCCGGCCTTTATCAGAAGTCAGGGGAAGGGCCTGAACATCACACAGGCTTCTTTCCCAAGCAGCTGGCTGTCTCCACATTTGGTTTGTGACTTCGACCTTTCTTCTTTCTCCACAGCATCTGGAGAGGGCCCAACGTGAACTGTGTAGACAGTACGGGGTACACCCCCCTGCACCACGCTGCTCTGAATGGCCACAGGTAAGTACTGACCTGCCGCCTTCCGCCCGCCCTTCCACCCACCCTTCCACGCAGGCCTTCCGCCTTTGGGTTCCTGGGAAGGATTACTGAGCAGCCGCGCTGAGAAAAACAAACTGAATTTAGCCCAGCATTCCCGACTCTCTCTTTAGTGCGTAACTACTTGAACATCCTTCCCCACTCCCCCCTCAAAGGCTTGAGCCGAAGGTTGAGTTTTACCTTTTCTTCGGTGCCCCCCGCCCCACCCCCCGAAATGTGCAGTGCCACGGTCATCTGATGTGAGCATCAACCTGGGGGCAGAGAGGGCTGGCGCAGCTGTCAGGCAACAGCCCCTCTGCACACTGAAAAGTGATGGGTCGGTTCTGAGAACCTTTCCTTCTATTAAGTAGTCACTTATTTACTTTTGCCACTTTTCCTCATGGGCAGTAAGACCTATTTTTAAGGAAAGAAACACATGAAAAATAAGGCCTATTTAAATCTCTTACATACAGAGAGGTTATTGGGATTGGGTGGGATGTGTGGAGAGTTTCTGGAGGTGTGCTTGGGGGTTGGGAGAAGAAGGCGTCGGTTTAAATGATGGGCAGCTGAAAGCGGGCGCTGCCCATCAGGTAAGGAGACTGAGGGCTCTGCCAGGGGCAGGCGCCATGTGGGGTACAGTGAATAGGCCCACCAGGATGTGGGAAATGGGAACCAGGCCATCACAGAATAGAGAGAGATTGGCACATACCCTGTGAGATGAGCGAAGAAGTTTAGCTTTTAGGAGGAGGGATTATAGGAACCACTTTAGATTCTTCTGAACCAGAGCAGGGCCGCACACCTTGTGGTTTCTGTGTCACTGTACAGCCCTCGGCCAGGCCCAGTTGACTCTGATTGTTCCTTCTGCATTACACGTTTCTCAGATATAGTGAACGCGGTCGTCACGTCCTTCCTGTGCCATTTTAGACAAAGCTAACAAGAAATATGTAGAGACCCGCCCCCTTACATAGCGGGGTGACCTGAATTAAAGTGGATCTTGAACTTAAAAGACTAGCTTGTTAGCCAAGCTGATCTCCAGATGCTGTTTTTATTTACAGTCGGGCTTTTCTCCGGCCTTGTGCATGGGATGGTTGTACATTTGTAGCTGCTTAATCAGTGGTGTCACCTCGAAGAATGCCAAGTCCTTCTTCCTGGATGTATCACATGAAAGCACAGGCGTCTGGCTCATGTTGGCAGCAGCTTCGCATCTGCCCTGCTGGCCGCTTCAGCTCCCACACGCTGCGCGCTCTGAGGCAGCGGTCGCTAATGGGTGGTCCGCGGACCAGAGGTCCGAAAGGTTGGCGACCGCTGCTCTGAATAATGTGGTGGGTGATGACATGTGTCTTGCATGACGTTGATGTAAATGCTGTCCCTGAACGCTGTTTAAACTTCACAAACAAGGAGACATTGCAAAGCTCAGACAAGGGGACCGGACGTTTCCAGAGCAATGGAAAATGGCTGGGTTACTGAGATACACAGGGAGGCGGACAGCCAGTGTCGTGGGACACGGGACGGCTCGGCCGCATGCCCGCAACTGTGCAAAGAAGCCCCTGGAATAAAAGGAAGAGGCGGGCACGAGCGCGGGTGGACGGGGAGCCAGAGGAGGTACCAGCTGTGCAACGCTTTGTGCTGTGCACGTGTGTCAAGAGCCGTTGGCGGGAAAGACTTCCGGGTTCTGCAAACTCATAACTGACCTTTGCCTTCCAGGGACGTGGTCGAGGTCCTGCTGAGGAACGACGCACTGACCAATGTGGCCGACTCCAAAGGCTGCTACCCCCTGCACTTGGCAGCCTGGAAAGGAGACGCCCAGATCGTGCGGCTGCTCATCCACCAGGGGCCCTCTCACACCAGAGTCAACGAGCAGGTTGGAAGGAAGGGAGCGTGCTTCCATTCAGCCGCAGCCCAGACCTCGCAGCCATCGCCGCTGCCGTCCCTTAGCTCAGACCTCAGGAACCGGCTCTTCCGGGCCCGGGGGTGGCTGCCTCCTCTCAGCACCACGCCTCTTAGTGCATCAAGGAGATCCCATTCCATGAGATGCATTTTTTAAAAATATATTTATTGATTTTTTACAGAGAGGAAGGGAGAGAGAGATAGTTAGAAACATCGATGGGAGAGAAACATCGATCAGCCGCCTCCTGCACATCTCCTACTGGGGATGTGCCCACAACCCAGGTACATGCCCTTTGACCGGAATCGAACCTGGGATCTTTCAGTCCGCAGGCCGACGCTCTATCCACTGAGCCAAACCGGTTTCGGCGAGATGCATTTTATATGCACATGAATCATGCGGGCGTGGAATAACACTAACAGGAACATAAATACTAACCTTGTGCAAAATTGGAAATAATGCGAATTCTGCAAAACTGCTTAGCGCCTGTTTCAAGCTGGCGGGCTTAGTTAATTGCAGCTTGTGCTTATGCCACTGACATGGCATTGCGACTGCAGCTGGTGAGCACATCTCCGGTGCGTGAGTACCGTGTGGGCCCTGCTGTTGTTTTACATGAGGCAGCACTCGCAGCCCAGGAAGGCCCGAGCCTGGTGAAAGTGAGCTCCAGACCTGGCAGTGGGGGCCGGGGTCTTCACGGAATGCGGAGCATGTCCCTGGCGCCCTCTAATGTTAATTTAAGAGGGAGCATGCTGTGACAAAGCAGAGGCAATTCTTAGAAAACAAAAAGGCAGCGTTTGAGTGAAAATACCTCACAGTGGCCATGGACGTGGGTCCTCCTATGGCTTTGGGAAAGTTATACGCGAATTATGCCTGTTCTAGACAGGCCTCCCGTAAAATGCCCTGAAGTTTGGGTCTGAGAGGAGATGGGCTTTCCCTGTAAGACAAGCCATTCTGCTCTCCTCCTCTCTGCTCAGCACTGAAGCAGATACTTGGTGGCTTGAATGAGAGAAGCCGCTCATCCTCGCTGCGTGTGGGATAATTTTCCTACTGCCTCTGCTGAGAGCAGGTTGTTAAACTCCCTGTATGACCAGAACAGGGTTATTCCTCTAAAAGGAAGAGGCGACTCGCAGAGAGCAGGCTGTTAAACTCCCTGTATGACCAGATCAGGGTTATTCCTCTAAAAGGAAGAGGCGACTCGCAGAGCCCTCTGTCAGTGAGGCCACGCCCGCTCCCTCCGTGCGCTGTTCACACACGACTGGGTTGGGGGCAGCTTCACCCCGGGGCGCGAGAACCTGGGCCAGGGCTCCCACGTCCCCATCTAGAGAGTGTGTGTGGAGGTTAATCGGCCTCCCGTCCCCTCCTGGGCTGTCCTTTTTGGTGAGCAACAGACATTTAAAGTGATCAGTGAGGATGTTTGTTTTTATAACATTAGAATTGAAAGTGTTCTCTGTAGAATCTAAATGCACCTGACTCCTCCTGGCTAAAGTGATTGTAACTTTTCTTATCTGGAGGAGGTTTGTAAGGAAGTTTGCTGTTAAGTCATATTCCTCAGTGTTGGAAAAAAACAGTCAGCCATTGAAGTCCTTCTCATTTAAAAACATTTCAGCAGCCGTCTCTAAGCCTCTGCTCACGTCTGCCTTGGAACACAGCCGCTTGGACTTTCGAGCCACTTGAGTGTGCTAGCTTGTCCTGCTCACAGCCGCCTCCCCCCGACTAGCCTTTGGTGGGACTCAGCCCAGTGCTTTGAGGGCGGGGCTGGCAGGGAGTGGGGTGGGGGCCGGGGTAAGGCAGCGGCAGCAGCTTGAAGGACCTAATGGATCTAGGTAGTTCCCAGCTCTGCATCGACTTCTGTAACGGCCATGACTGTGGTTTCAGCTGGATGCTCGGATAAGAGGGGGTGACGCGTGCCGAGCCCTGGAGAGCGTCTTCCCCATGAACTCCCCTTCGGGCACCCGGAGGGCTGATCCCCGTTGTGCAGTGTTGGGCCCCTCGGGGCTGTGCAAGTGCGTTGATGTGTTTCATCCATTTCATCATCACGTTTTCTTTTCCTCTCCTTTTTGTAGAATGCTCTTGAGATCAAAGAACTCAAAAAGCACGGCCCCTTTGACCCTTATATCAATGCCAAGGTGTGTACTTTGCTGTCAGGATTTCTCTGCATCATGTCTCCAAGCTGCGCCTCCTCCTGGGTCCCCTCGCTTCCCTCTGTCCCCTCGGGTCCCTCACCTGGTGTCTGCTTCAGCCTCGGCCTGCCTGCCTGGGAGTGGGAAATGCAGCGTCCAGGGCGTGGTTTTGCTTTAAATCCATCCTGATTCTGGACGGCGGGTGCTTTCCCTGGAATGTCTGGAAAGCGTACAAGTGGCAGGATTGGGGAAGGAGAGGGGGCCATATGTTTGCATGACACTATTGTATTTCTCACATTTAAATCCAAAAAAGAAAAATGTCAAACACGGGAGCTTATTTTTTATGAAGCACAGAAAAAAATGAGTACGTTTTATTTCCTGGATTACATTTTTTTAGTCTGAGTTCTGTTTTCTCTGGAAGTGGACTCTGGTTTTCGGGAGCTTGTGGCAGGCAGAGGGGGTGTGGGTGACGGCGTGGGGGCTCGAGGCTGCGGCGTGTGCCCCCGCAGTTCCTCGGGTTCGTGCATTTTGCCCGGGACTGTAAAGCCACCATTCCTCTCCCCATGGTCACGCGTGGCCACTGGGAGGCTCTGAAACAGGGCGTGGAGCTGCCAGGCCAAGCAGGGCAGTTAGTTGCATTGTCTCCCTCCCGTGAGGCTGGGCAGCCTTGCAGCCCGCAGCCCTCGCCACGTGGAGGCCGAGTGTGGTGGTGGTGGTGGTGGTCGCGGTAGCCTCTTCCTCTGCGCTCTCACCTGCTGTGTTTGGTCTGAGTTTTCGTTCGGGTGAGGTTTGCTGATTGGCAGCCATCTGGTATGTGGCTGTCACTGCCTTTTTCTTGCTCTGAAATGCCGCTCAGGGGAGGAGACGGGCGGTGCTTCTGCAGGCACACCGTGCTTCCCTCTGAGAAACGCTGACTTAGCACACGCAGCCGCGCCGGCGGGACTGGGGCAGCCGCCTGCCGTTGGGCCCTGACGGTGGGGAAGCAGTGTGGTCTGGGAGTGGAACACATTAGCTTTTGTCTGGGGCCACTCTTTAAATTCCGTCTTCTCATCTTCAAAATAGAAGTTACTCTGTCTTGGTTTTCTTCTCTTCTTGAAGGTGGGGTGGTAGAGTGAGGCCTCTCACAGGTCACCGCCTCTCCAACGGGCTTGAGTTTAAATTCTGTGCTACCACGTACCTGGTTTTGTTGACCTGAACAAGTTCCTTTCTCTGAGCCTCGGTTTCCTCTTCTGTACGTGGGGTATGCCATCTACTTTCCTCGGTTCTTTTGGAGTTTAAGGTAATGTACATGAAGTATGACTATCTGGTCAGTAGTCCTGTTGGAGGCCCTCCCTTAAAGAGGAATGTGGAAGGTGGTGTTTCTGAAACGGCAATTTGGGATTTGTTCCTTGTTCCTCGTAGGTTTTGTTGGGGGAGGCACCTTGAACTGATTGGTTTCCCTCCTGTGATTCCCTGGTGGTCAGCCTACGAAGCTGATTAAAGGGCGGTACTTGCTTTGAAAGCACGTTTTCCTGTCCCTCCATTCCACTCACTTAAAAGGAAGTGTACATGGAATAAGAGTATACTTCTCTGTTTGGAAATACTGTCCTTCGCCTCTGCCTTTCCCCGCCCCGCCCCAGGCCTCAAGGGATTAAGCTATTTGGGCGCTAAGAGTACAAACTCCTCTTGGGCCGACTTGACTCGGTCTCCCTAGTTTACATCCCGACCCCAGAGGTTTTTATTGACCTGGCTTGTGTCCAGGAGTTGTTTTGCTAAAGGACTTTTTAAAAAACATGTTTTTACTGATAGAAGACAGGAGAGAGAGAGAGAGAGAGAGAGAGAGAGAGAAACATCAATGATGAGAGAGAATCATTGGTCAGCTGCCTCCTGCATGCCCTCTACTGGGGATTGAGCCTGCAACCCAGGCATGTGCCCTGACGGAATCGAATCGTGACCTGGTTCGTGGGCCAACACTCATGCTGTCCTGGCTGCTAAAGAACTTTTGCTGCTAAATCATATCAGGCACCCATCTCAGGGGCCTTTCTGGGGAGCGGAGGTAGTTTTCATGAGCTTTCATCTCCACCTTCCCTTTTTCACAAGTCTGTATAACCCAGTCCAAACATAAGTTCTTAGCTAAGATGGAACCATTGAAATTGTTTTTCCCTTTTACTAGTACAATAATTTTAACTTAGTCTGAATATCATAACATGAGCAACAATCAAATTGTTTTAGGGTAGATCTATTTTTCTATTCACTTAAAAATAGTTTAATCTTAGCCTGGCCAGTAATCTCAATGGTTAGAGCATCAGCCCGCACACTGCAGGGTATGGGGGTTGGTTCCTGGGCAAGGGCACGTGCTTAGGTTGCAGGTTTGATCCCCAGACCCAGTTGGGTGCATGCAGGAGTCTCTCTCACATCGATGTTTCTCTCTTTCTCTCTCCCTCCTCCCACCCTCCCTTCCACTCTCTCTTTTAAAAAAGTGTGGTATTTCAGAAATATCACATTATACACTCCTTTTAAAATGGAAAAAACATCCTTGGGTGCAGATTAAAGATTAAAAAATAATAATTTAATCTTAGAGCTTGAAGAGACCAGAAAGTTATCTAGACCAGAGGTCGCCAACCTCTTGCGGGAGGTCTGCGGACCACCAGTTGGCGACCGCTGATCTAGACCAGTTGTCCCCACGTGCTGTTCAGCTTGTCTGGTTGCATCAGAATCATCTAGCAAGCTTTTATTAAACTCCTATTTTTTAAAAATTTCCACCTTACAAAAGTTGCAAGAATAATGCAGTGAACTGCACTGTGCTCTCCTAGATTAACCAGTTGTTAGTATTTTGTCATACAGTGGGGCCTTGACTTTCGAGTTTAATTCATTCTGTGACGGAGCTCGTAACTCAAATTACTCGTATGTCAAATTTTCACCATTACAATGACATGTGATTCTGGGCTGATGTTGTGGCGTTCACTGTGACGTTCGCTGCACCAACTAGCGGTGGGGTATCTGAAGCTGGCTTGTAACCCGAATTTTAGCTCGCAACTCAAAGCAAAAAATCGGCCGAGAGACGGCTCATATCTCGAAAAACTCGTTAGTCGGGACACTCGTAAGTCAAGGCCCCACTGTATTAGCATGCCCCTCCCATATATGTTGCTGTTATTATAGTTGATGATGGACTATTTGAAATTATGACATCAGAGCCTTTAGCCCCAAATACTTGAGCACATATCTCCTAAGAGTGAGGGCATTCACTTGTATAACCATAATGCAATGATCAAATTCAGAAAGGTCAATGTTGATTTAATGCTGTTATCCAATATAGAATCCATGTTCACATTTCACTAATTGGCTCAATAATGTCCTTTAGAGCAGTGGATGCCAACTGGTGGTCTGTGAGGTCCGAAAGGTTGGCAATCACTGCTTTAGAGCAAATTTTTTCTCCTGGTCCAGGATCCCACCCAGGATCACATGTGACCTGGAACAGCTCCCCAGCCTTCCACTGCGTGACAGTTTGAAGAGTGTGGGTCCATTTTGTTGACTGTCCACCAGTTTGCGTTGGTCTGATACCCTCGTTCCGGGTGTAGGTTTACGGCGGGGACCTCAGGGGAAATGCCATGTCCCTCCTGTTCAGTGCGCCACAGCACAGGCACGGCTGGCGGCCTGTCCCACCCCTGATGGTGGCGAACGAGTGCTTGGTGAGTGGGTGCCTGCCTTTTTTTTTTTAAATATGTTTTTATGATTTCAGAGAGGAAGGGAGAGGGAGAGAGAGAGACACTTCAGTGATGAGAAGCATTGATTGGCTGCCTCCCGCACGCTCCCTCCTGGGGATTGCGCTCACAAACCCGGGCATGTGCCCTGACTGGGAATCGAACCGTGACCTCCTGGTTCATAGGTTGAGGCTCAACTACTGAGCCGAGCTGGCTGGGCTTGGTAAGCTTTTTAATAATAGTTTTCCTGGGCTTTCCCCTCCGAGGTGCTGCCTTGGCGAGTCTGGGGTGGGGCTTAGTATTAATTACTTTAATTCCTAAAGGAAGCCAGGCAGAGAACCACTGATCTGAGCTAACTGCCCCCAGAGCGGGAATCTTCTCTCACCTCAGGTGCCCATCCACCTCTTGTCTGTTTCTCCTGGTAACAAGCAAACTGCTGCTTGGCAGCCTCTGTCAGGATTCCACTGAGGTTTGGCTGTTTGACATCTGTCTTCCTAAACCTTCACCTCGGTCAGAGCCTGCCTTCCACGTGGCGGACTCAGTACACACATTTCTCCTGAATCTTCTGAATCTCAGTAGACCCAGTTTGTCCTTTTGTTCCAGTTTTGGTCCATTTCCTGAGCCTGTACGTCGTTGCTACAGAGCTGCCGCCCAGGTGCCCCCAGACTCGGTGTCTGTCCGCAGCGCACGGAGAGCAGCTGGGTGCGATCTCGGCCGGGAACTGATGGTTCCGAATAGTGCCACGGAGAGAAAGGCCATGGAGATGTAATGTTTCTGTGTGGTGTGTGCTGCTTGTAGTGTGTGTGTGTGTGTGTGTGTGTGTGTGTAAACGCATACATCGAGTGGATTTACACAACGAAGGGATCTCCAGGTGTAAAGGGTATGAGGGATCGCTTTTGTCTTAGAGGTACTGGCCATATACAGCAAGGAAAATGAAAGTGTTTCTCGAGATGAGCGGGAATGGAGAGTTTGTGCAGAGATTTTGGAGAAAATTGGGGTATTTCATCTCAGTCCCCTTCCTCAGTCCAGATTCATAGTAAAATGGTCTAGGAGACTCTTGAGGTGTCGCGAGCACCAGTGCTGCAATTTGGAAGGTGTGGGAGAGAAGGTTCCAGGCCGTTAGAAGTCTGCGCTCCTTGGACCCGCCCCTCTTGAGGGATCAGCAGTAGCGCCTTCCTGCCCTGACGCCTTCCTGCCCTGATGGCTGGGCCGTCAGGCTCACCGTGATGCCTGATGCCTGTGGTCAGTAGTTGCGAGCGTGCTCACCACAGACATAAACTCCAGGTTATCGTGGTCACCAGACCATGTCTGGCGAGGCTGAAACACCGGGAGATGTTTCCTGCTGCGTCCCGGCTGCCGTGCTGCGGAGATGTGGTCAGGCCGCGTCAGCAGGGTGGGGCCTGCCTGGTGGTGACCACCCCTCCCCGCAGGGCGGCTTTGTGGCAGCTGCCTTCATTCTGGCAACAACGAGACGAAGTGAAACGCACAGGGAGACTGATTTGCTGCTGGATAGTGTAGAGCAGTGATGGCGAACCTATGACACGCGTGTCAGAGATGACACGTGAACTCATTTTTTTGGTTGATTTTTCTTTGTTAAATGGCATTTAAATATATAAAATAAATATCAAAAAATATAAGTCTTTGTTTTACTACGGTGGCACATATCAAAAAATTTCTCTATGTGACACGGCACCAGAGTTAAGTTAGGGTTTTTCAAAATGCTGACACGCCGAGCTCCAAAGGTTCGCCATCACTGGTGTAGAGTTTCACAGTTGTCAGGCCCTCCTGGCATGCTTTTCACAAAATCAAGGACGGATTATTCCGGTTGTTGGGAGACAACTTGGAGGTAGAAGAGGCAACTGTGTCTGCTTCGGAGTAAACAAGGCCTCGTGGGCTGGGTTTGGATAGGAACAAGCTGGCTTCCTGGGCGCTTGCTGTCACGCTGGCTTGCGATGCAGCCCTGATAGGCCTCTCGCAGGGTCGCGCTGCAGGAAGCGGCTGTGGGTCTTGTGGATGTGGCCGTCTTCTCAGCATGAGACATGCAGGGACAGCTCCAGGTTTGCTCAGGCAGCTCCTGCCATAGCTTCCTAGCATTGCGCGTTCCAAATGCGTGTCCTAAATGGCTGGTTTGGCTCAGGGAACCAAGGATTTGCCCCCTCCCCGTGTTTCCCCTTCCCTGCAGACATTTAGGTTGACGTGGAGTTGCCCTGGGGGAGTGAGGGCCGCACGCCTCAGCTGCTGCTCTCCCGAATCCCTTAGAGCTCAGTGCCGTCCTCTGTTTGTCTGTGTGCATTTATCTCGCATGTGGCTCCTGCTACTGCCCTTCCTGTCCTTACTTTATTTTTAAGTTTCTCTGCTCTTTCTGGCCTCTTGGGGCCTTGCTCCCCACAGCTCTGAACCTTTCTGGTACATGTGGTGCAGCCAGAAAAAATGATGCAGTCAAGTGCCAGACCAAAAGCAGATGACTTGCTTGCATGTTAGGGTGGCTCCGTAGCCTGTTACTTTCCCCTCAGTAATGGACTTAAAGCAGTTGTGGGCACATTTACTTTTTATCTCTTGGCCACTGAAAGGTGCATGATATTGACCTGATGGGCAAACCCCTCGGAAGCTGTGTTTCCCTGAAGAAGCTTCCGGGCGAATTCAGGAATCTCAGGATCTCGTGGGGGAATTACTTCCATCAGTGCTCCTCCAAAGGAAGGGGCGTGGAGATCATTTATTCTTGCTCTGATGATACATCGTCAGTTGTAATAAAAGAAGGAGCATCGTTGGAGTAGTTAATAGTTTCTGATGATTGAAAAAGCACAAACTTCTCCTGTTTTATCCCAGGTTCTACCTTTAGTTTGAAGCACATGGGCTTCGAGGCCCTGGGGTGTCCATTTGAGTGGATGGTTACAATTTTGAATATTTTGCACCTTTCTCGCAACTTCCTGGTGTCGGATGGGATCTGTCACGTAGAAACACTTCCCGCTGTGGACTCTGCACGCGCTGGCTGGTGCAGGCAGCACCGGGGCCCTGCTCCTCCGTGACTGACCTCAAGTGCCTCCCTCCCCTGGAGACGGCTGCTGGCTGGCATTGCCAGAGCGGTTTTTGGTGTTCTGCTCTGTTGCTTTCACTGTCGGCTGATTTATTTGCATGCAAGAAGCTAAGCACATGACACACTCTTCAAAACGTGTCTGTGAATCAGTGGATACTCAACAAACCCAGAATCAGAACCACAGGGTTGAGTAAATATAAATTGTAAAACCAGTTGAAGTTTAAAATGAGTCACCAGTGGCAGTAACATTATTGGCATTTGTCTGTGCCAGGGCTTCTCCCACGGCCTGCCACAATCCCCGTCTCTCCCAGGCTGGGAGTCCCCCCTCCCACACAGAGGTGGCCGCTCCCCGCTGGCAGTACCTGGGGAAGAGGTGGCCGGTGGACAGTCGGCCTTGTTCCCTGGGGAGTACCTCTGGATTCTGACTGACTTCTCTCAGTCCCCACGTATTGCTGCTGTTTTTCTCATTTAAATTTCAATGGTTTTCTGGGTGATTGTCCCAGTCAGGCCCCTCTGCCCGTCACCTTTCTGATGTGCTCTGCTTGTCGGCTCTTTAGAACAATGACAACGAGACGGCCCTGCATTGCGCCGCGCAGTACGGCCACACGGAGGTGGTAAAGGTCCTCCTGGAGGAGCTCACGGACCCCACGATGCGCAATAACAAGTTCGAGACCCCCCTGGACCTGGCCGCGCTCTACGGGCGGCTGGAGGTGGTGAAGATGCTCCTCAACGCGCACCCCAACCTCCTGAGCTGCAACACTAAGAAGCATACGCCCCTGCACCTGGCGGCCAGGAACGGCCACCGGGCCGTGGTCCAGGTGCTGCTGGACGCGGGCATGGACAGCAACTACCAGGTAGCGGCCTGAGGCCCTCCCGGGCTCCGGGACTTAGTCGTTTCGGAAAAGGCACCGTGCGTGCTGCTGGGCTGTCTCTTAGCACGTTCGCACCACGTGTCAGACGCTTCCATTCGTTGGCTCGTTTTACCGGGAGGCTTTCGAGACCAATACACTCCCCGAGTGAGGCTGTTGTTTTTGTTTCTTTCCAGGGGTAATACGTAGTCATTACACCCTGAAAAGAAGTGGTCATGGATGAGCCCTCGAGATTAGAAACGTTTCATTATCTCCCTCCACCCGAGCCTCACTGCACGGCAGCCCCTCCAGGCCCCTCGGCCGGGCTTTGCCGACGGGAGACAGCGTTTCCCTTGCTGGTTCGCTGTCCGTTCCTCAGGCTTCGCCCTGACCAGACCTCACTGGAAGGAGGATTTTCCCCTGCGTTTTCCTTAGGCCTCCGCCCACCCAGGAAGGTGGAGTTCTGGGAAGTCGTACCCGGACGTGGCTCCACCGTCAGCCGTGTGTGGCCTGCTGGTGGCACAGCCAACCCCTGAGGGCCAGGCCACGCTCGGGGTATGGGAACGATAATGACAGGACTCTGCGTGGTTTATTTCACCTTCCCGCCCCTTCTTGTCTCTGTCTCCGTCCCGTTTGTCGTGTGTGGCCACGCCGACCCGGGGCGGCCGCTGTCCTGACGACACCCGCTCTGCGCTCTCGTTTGCCTTCCAGACGGAGAAGGGCAGTGCTTTGCATGAGGCCGCTTTGTTTGGCAAGACCGATGTGGTGCACATCCTGCTGGCCGCAGGTGAGGTCGGCAGCGCAGGGTCCGCTCGCATGCCGGGCCGGGCTGCTGTCCCCGGCCTCCCCAGAGGGGACTTTGCTGGCTGCACTTGAACCCATTGTATGTATGTCTCCACTGGTTGATTGCAAGTGTGCGAATTGTTCATGAATAGCTGGATTAAATGGCTTTGGATGGAAAATGTAGGGTGTGCGGCTGGGAGCGTTAGGTGGCCTGGAATTGGACCCTCTTGGAGGCTGACCTGCAAATGCTCACGCCGCTGGTCCACCTGGTGTGCCTTTCCAGGGATTGATGTCAACATAAAAGATCACCGAGGACTGACCGCCCTGGACACGGTCCGGGAACTGCCTTCTCAGAAGAGCCAGCACATAGCAGCGCTCATTGAAGGTATCCGTCCAGCTCCCTGCCGGGGACACGAGGACACGCTACACGCTGGCCAGACCGTGGCATTTGTATTTGGTGCAGCTTTTTTTTTTTTAATCTTTCCATGTAGATCACATGACTGGAAAAAGAAGTGCAAGAGAGGCAGAGAAAACTCCCACACCCCAGCCACCTCTCATCTCCAATGCGGACTCCATATCCCAGAAGTCTCAGGGTAAGGCGGCTCCTCTGTGGGGGGCGCCCATTGAGAAGTGGGACGTTCTTCAGCAGAACGGAAAATCTTAGTTTAAATGATAATTCCAGGGAGTTAGGAGGACTTAGGTGCACATTCACGTTCTTTCCTTCCCACGACTGTATGAAGCTGTTCTGGACACAGCTGGGCCTGTGGCAGCAGCCCCTTCCTGCCTGCTTCATTGCATTCTCTGCGCTCACAGTTGGCTCTGTGAGATCTGAGATGTGTAGCAGGCAGGACAGTCTCAAGATGAAGTCAGGTCTCAGTGAAACCTTTCCCTAGTGTCGAGCACAGTTGGCCCTTGAACGTGGTCAGTGTGTAAGGAGCCGCATGCGGTTGGTGGCTGCGTGCATGCAGATTTGGGTAGTATGTCATCTGGCTAGTGAATGTGGTTGGGTGCCCCCCGTTCCTGCCAGGATCCCCCTTCTCAGGTGTATTGGGCCGCCTTGGTGCATGAGAAACACAAAACATGGAGCGACACTGGCCCAGACGCAAATGGCAATGGAGTGGCTGGGGGAGCAGGACAGCCAGGCAGCTCCGGAGGGGCTGCAGGAGCAGAGACGCGGCTGACGGTGCTCAGTCTGGCTTCACTGCCGGGGCCGTGCCCTTCTCCCATCACACTTTTTAACTTTTATTTTATTTTATTTTTATTGATTTCAGAGAGGAAAGAAGAGGGAGAGAGAGAGAGAGAAACATCAATGATGAGGGAGAATCATTGATCGGCTGCCTCCTGCATGCCCCACACTGAGGATCAAGACCAAAACCCGGGCATATGCCCTGTTCGGGAATCGAACCCCGACCTCCTGGTTCATAGGTCAAGTCTCAACCACTGAGCCATGCTGGCTGGTCGTGTCACATTTTTTTTCTGACCTCCTAATCTTCTAGTAATGGGGGTTAGGAGCTCCCCCAGCTCTTAGCATTCAGAGGTTTTACATTTACAGTTTTGTTTTCTTTATATTATATGAAGTTTCTTCCTCCCTCCCTCCCTCCCTCCCTCCCTTTTTTTCCTCACCCAAAGATATTTTTCCATTGATTTTTTAGAGAGAGTGGGAGAGGGAAAGACAGAGAGAAATATTGATGTGAGAGAAACACATCGACTGGTTGCCTCCTGCACGACCCCCGACCAGAGCCTGCAGCTGTGGTACGTGTCTTTGACCAGAATCGTACCTGGGACCCTTCGGTCCGCAGGCTGACGCTCTATCCACTGAGCCAAACCAGCCGGGGTTACACTTACAGTTTTGACTTTGCAAGCAGCCCAGAGATCCCTGGTCTGTCAGGGTGGGTCACAGATTTGGATCTAGGCCCCCGAGGCTCGGAGTTATCCCCGAGGGAGGCTCACAGCGAGGCGCCGCCAGCTCAGACGGGGCCGCCTCCTCCTGGAGCACATGGAGCTGCTTAGGAAGAATTTCAAGGCTTACTCACGTTTCTTTCGTGATACTTTGCTGCATTTTCTGGTTTAGGTTTATGTTACCCTGGGAATTTGTGGCGATCTTGGGAGATACCCTCAGCGATATCAAGAGTTGTCCATATTGAATTGGAGGGAAATGTGCCCACTTCTCGGGTGTAGAGCAGGGAGGCCTGTTTGTGCTGCTCGTGGAGCAGCCCTGGCTCACGGTCCTGCTCTGGGTCCGCTCGTCAGCCGCGCTGAGCGGGCTTCGGGTTGTCGCCGAGCCTGGAAGCGTGAGGCTGCTCTTCCGTTGACCCTCCTGCCCTCTGACCTCCCCTCAGGTGACGTGGAGAAAGCAGTGACTGAGCTGATCATCGATTTTGACACAAGCGCTGAAGAGGAGGGCCCCTACGAGGCGCTGTACAACGCCGTCTCCTGCCACTCGCTGGACAGCATGGCGAGCGGGCGGTCGTCTGACCGGGACTCCGTGAACAAGGAGGCCGAGGCCGCGGGAGTGAAGGCGGCTGGAGTGAGGCCTGTACGTGGCCGGGGCCTCAGCAGCTGGGCTCGCTGGGGTGCTGGGGGGGAGAGAGAGCTGTACCCCCGTGCCAGCGCGCTCGGGGGCCTCCTGGGCTCTGCCGCGGCCCCGTCCCGCGCAGTGTGCTTAAACCACTGGGCTCGTGGAGGCACCATTTTGGTTTTCCCAATTTCAATATAACCCGTTTCATCTTTTTACTGCTTTTTGGCCCTCGAGCATTTAAAAGCATTTTGTGTGTGTTTAGCCTGAATGCTGCTCTGTGTTTGGGGTCCTTGCCATGCAGCCCGTTTTCTGTCTGGGGAGCAGTTCCTGCTGCAGCGAGTTCCTGTCCACCCTCAGTCACGCCCCCTTCATTTGACCTCAGAGGTTACCCGGTGGATTTCTGTGTCAGGGCTGTGGCAAGGTTCAGCCAACATCATCATGTGTCTGGTGTGAGGCATTTCCGTTCTTCCCGGTTGTAACCGCTGCAGCCATTGAGGACAGCCCTGAATTTTCCCTCAGGCCCACCTCCTGTCTCACTACTCTCTGGTGCCCGCGTCTGCTCTGGCCTTGGACGTTGTTCTCTAGCCGCCGTACCCCATCTTCTCCCTGGGGTTTCACTGTGAGCCTGAGCCAGACTCAGTGGTCCCACTGACCTTCCTGCATTGCTGACAGTAATCTGAAGTTTTGAGCCCTGGGCGTTTACTAAACTGGCCCTTGCTCTCACAGGATCCCGGTGTAATCCCACCTCAGGCACATGGCCTTGTGTGTATTGTTTCTTCCTGTTGCAGAGGCTGGCTTTCCCTTTGGTCTGGATCTGCTGATGACCATTTGGATGGCCTTTGGGTGCTAGTTGGTGCTGCTAGGGGATGCTGCTAGGGGATGCTGCTAGGTGCTGCTGCTAGATGGTGCTGCTAGGGGATGCTGCTCCATGATGCTACTAGGTGGTGCTGCTAGGGGATGCTGCTCCATGATGCTGCTAGGTGCTGCTGCTAAATGGTGCTGCTAGGGGATGCTGCTACATGATGCTGCTAGGTGCTGCTGCTAGGTGGTACTTCTAGGTGATGCTGCTAGGTGGTGATGCTAAATGGTGCTGCTAGGGGATGCTGCTCCATGATGCTACTAGGTGGTGCTGCTAGGGGCTGCTGCTAGGTGGTACTTCTAGCTGATGCTGCTAGGTGGTGCTGCTAGATGGTGCTGCTAGGGCATGCTGCTCCATGATGCTACTAGGTGGTGCTGCTAGGGGATGTTGCTAGGTGATGCTGCTAGGTGGTACTTTTAGGTGCTGCTGAGAGGTGCTGCTGCTAGGTGGTGCTTCTAGGTGCTGCTGTGAGGTGCTGCTGCTAGGTGGTGCTTCTAGGTGCTGCTGCTAGGTGATGCTGCTAGGTGTTGCTGCTAGGTGGTACTTCTAGATGATGCTGCTAGGTGCTGCTGCTAGGTGATGCTGCTAGTTTGTCAGAATGCTAGGTGATGCTGCTAGGTGATACTGTAGGTGGTGCTGCTAGGGGATGCTGCTAGGTGCTGCTGCTAGGTGGTGCTGTTAGATGGTGCTGCTAGGTGATATTGTAGGTGCTGCTGCTAGATGGTGCTGGTAGGTGATATTATAGGTGATGCTGCTAGGGGATGCTTGGGCTTCGGGGAGTGCCCAGGGAGTGGCCTGGTATTGCTTGGTGTTCTTTTGAGTTAGGTTCCTTGCCCTGCCCTGGAACAGACGCCGCCTTTCCATGTGAAGCTTGGAAAGACCGGCCAGTCTTGTTGTAGCCCACCAGCGAGGGTGTGACCAGGACTGTGGTAAACGTGTGGGTGGTGGAGGCAGTGCCTGTGCGAGCACCGGGAGCATGGTGGCTCTGTGGACAGAACTGGTCTTTTCCACTTCTTTCCCTGGTAGGAGCAAAGGAATTAAGCAGATCCACCTGTGGAGGCAGGCTTGCTTTCAGTGGTACTTACAGGTGATGCCCAGTAGAGGGAGCTGGAGGCTTTAAGCTTTGGATAGCCAAGTTCCTGTGGGGCTTGGCTACTGATTTACTCTCTTTGTTCCCTCTTCCTCTAGAACCCAGCCTCCGAGGGTCCCTCTAAGTAGAAACAGATGCATTTGGGGTGCTGTGCCCTGCCATTTTCACTGGAGTATGTTGTGGATGTGCTGCCTCCCTGGCTCTGGGTAACTCACTGTGGCCACCCGCCTGTTCTGTGCCTTGTAAGCACCAGGGATGGCGTGTATGAGTCAGCTCCGTACTCCCAGGCCCGGGCCAGCGCTTTGACGTTAGGAAAAGGACATGCCTCCCTTTCCTGGTGTCCCTGATGCTCACCTCTTTCTCGTCTCCCTCAGGAGGCACAGCCTTGGGGGCCTTTGTTGTGTTTCGTTGTGTTTTTCCTCGGCTGTCTGTGTTCCAAGTTGGGTAACAGTGTGGGTTGTGGGCCTGCTGCTTTTTCTATCTCTTCCTTCCAAGGCGGCACCTCTGGAGCAAAGGGGTGGGGAATGGGACTTAGTGGAAACCTCATCTGAACTGCTTAGCTTGGCTTGAAGGTGTGAACCTGCGTTGAAGTTGTTGCCACCGGACCTCAGCTGGTCCCAGGACCGTGGGAGGGCCGAGTTGTGGAGGTGGAGTGCCGAGTGGTGAAGCACCTTTCAGTGGAGAGATCATGGGTGCCAGGTGCTAACCATGTCTGGCAGCTCCTAAAATGGGAGAGCCATCTTTCCTCCAGGTCTCTCCGAGGCCCACAGGCTCTCCCCTCCGCCCTGACTTGAGTGCTCCCGTTCTGGCAGCACAGGGAACTCGCCCGCCAGCCAACTCCCGTTCCGGCTCCACTGCCTTCCCCGTGGAACACTGATGAGCAAGCTTAGGGCAGAAAGGATGTTGAAAGTCCCGCGGGGACAATGGCAAGCTGCTCTTCAGTGTCCTTTCCCCGAAGACCGCTCTGTGTTCCTGAAATTGTCTGCCGGTGACCCCGCTGGTCCCTCTCCAGCGAGTGCCTTGCTCCAGGGCAGGGCTGGCACGCCAGGGCCACAGACAGCTGCCTCTGATGGTGAATAAAGTTTAATGGAATACTTTGTACCGCAGCGGCAGAGCTGACTGCCAAGCCCAGAATATTTACTCTGTGGCCCTTTAAGAAAAGGTTTGCCAGCCCCGCTCTAGGGCAGAGAACTGAGAAAGACTATTTTTTAAAGGGGCTGAGATGAGGTGGGGTTTTCACACGCTAATGATGCATAATAGGATGGCGTGGGAGCGTGCGCGGGAATGGACCCGAGTGGGTTGTCAGAGCTCCTTGACAAGCTGAGTTTTGGGCCTTGCTGACTCGTCCTCTCACTGGAGGCAGCACGGGTTTTCCTCGAGTTTCACGCCTCAGCCTCATGGCGGACGTGTTCCGACCAGGCAGGTCTGTGATTTAATGCTGATATTTCTCACTGTGGTCAGGATAGGAAAGAGGTGTTTATAATCTCCGTATAAACATCAGAAAGCAAAGAGCGTGAGAACTGACGTGTGTTTGTGTGCAGAGCCTTTCTGTACAGGTTCTAGACCTTGACTTTGGTCTCACAGGGAAGTGCTTGACCAAAGTCATTTTCATTTCCAAGGGCTAAGCTAAGAATAGACCAAAAAGTTAGATAGTTAAAAAAAGAGACGGCGAACGACTTCTTTTCTTGTCTGCAGAGGGAACGGCCACCGCCTCCAGCAAAGCCCCCGCCAGACGAGGAGGAGGAAGACCCCACGGACAGGAAGCTTTTTCCCCTGCCGGCTTCTGAGGTACAGGGTCAGGGTGTGTTCGATTTGTTGGAAAGTGCATCCGTGTGTGCTTAATGACTGTGCTTTCTCGTTTCTTATCGCCTCTTTGGGTTAGCAGACCTGAATTGTGTATATCAGTAATGTGGAACACGCCCTTTCAAACTCTGAAGTACTAAGCAAAGAACTTTAATGGCGCCCCCTAGCGGCCAGCCGCTGCTCCGGCCAGCGCGGAGCAGCACATTGTCTCCTGGCTCCGATGGGCTGACCGATCGCACTTTGGCTTTTGCGCCTTTTGCAGTGCTGTCTTTTGACATAAAATCTAGAGTGCCCCTGCTCGCTGCTCCCTGGACTGTGTCACATGAGTAGGTTTTGATGGTTTGTCCCAAATGGCTTACTTCTGTTTTTGCATTTTTTTCTCTTCATTTCATGTGAAAAGCCTGCTCCAGGCCCTTTGTGCAGAATGTGGCAGAATGTGAGAATCTGCTCACTTAGGTTTATGAAGAAGATCGTATTTTCCTTTATCTTTCACCTTCAAAATGTTCCTTTAACTCTTCCTACCATTTAGAGAATGTTTATCGAGTATTTATTTAAAAGATTACATAATATCAGTAGTTTATTTTGTAGCTCTTCCTACCATTTAGAGAATGTTTATTGAGTATTTATTTAAAATATTACATAATATCAGTAGTTTATTTTGTAGCTCATTCAAAGCCCTGGCTTTCTTTATTTTAAATTTTAGCTAATATAAACTAGTCAGGTCTCATTCCTTTATCCCTAAAAGTAGGAGTTAATTTTTTTCACAGTATTGCCATGGACCATCCAGAAAAATGGGTTCTTTTGTTTAATATGAGTGTATAGAACCAGAAAGATGGCTTTAGTTTAACGAAACGTATAAATGCAAGGAAACCCTTTTAGGAATGTGAGTCAGTGTTGGAGATAGGAGATGATTGCTATGCTGCGTACAAATTCTGTCCTTGTTTCTTTCTATCCCTTAATTACAAAATGCTAATTAGCATGTTCAACTAAGGGGTCTCTGGGGTGATCATGCCCTGGAGCAGACATGAGGACGTGCAGAAAGCCTGCGTGCTGTTCTGTAGAGGTTTGCCTCCTTGCCCCCTCTCTACAGGGAGACGCCTGGTGACCTGGAGCATATTCGGCTGGGGGTGGGGCTCTGTAACAAGGACTCGAATTGAAATTCCTAAGGCGCAAGGATAAGGGCGAGGCTCTTAAAGTGTCCGATAATCAGGACTTTCTATTCTCCAGACTTTCTAGAGCAGACACTTGGCGCTAATGCAGTGCCGAGAGGTGGGGAGAAACCTCCACGCTGACTCCGGATGGGAGACTCCGGCCATATGTCTCCTAGGACTTGCTCAGGGTAGCCTGGAGCACTGGGTCAGTTGGGCCACCAGAGTCCGTTTCGGAAGGCCGTGAGGGCCCGGCCTGGGCAAGTGTGTGAATATAGAGGTGGTGCATCTGGGTCACTGGCCTTTTAGTGATTAAGGCAGGTCCTGTTGGCTGTAATCAGAATGGATAGTCTTCTCCAAAAGTGGGCTTTTTTTTGTTTTACTCTTTAGTCTTCACTGTTATTTATTTATTTATTAAATCTTTTTTTCTTTAATCCTCACTTGAGGATATTTTTCCATTGATTTTTAGAGAGAGTGGCAGAGCGCCCAGCCGGCGTGGCTCAGTGGTTGAGTGTTGACCTATGAGCCAGGAGGTCATGGTTCGATTCCTGGTCAAGGCACATGCCCGGATTGCGGGTTCGATCCTCAGTGTGGGGCGTGCAGGAGGCAGCCAATCAATGATTCTCATCATTGATGTTTCTAGCTCTCTCTCCCTCTCCCTTCCTCTCTGAAATCAATAAAAATATATTAGAGTGGAAGTGAGAGGGAAAGACAGAGAAATATTGGTGTGAGAGTAGCATATCCATTAGTTGCCTCCTGGGTGCACCCGATCAAGGCCCAGGCCAGGGAGGAGCCTGCAACCGAGGTACATGCCCTTGACTGGAATCGAACCCAGGACCCTTTGGTCTGCAGGCTGACACATTATCCACTGAGCCAAACCAGCCAGGGCCATTTCTATACTCAAATTTTTACTACCTAAACTTCATCTCCTAGGACAGTGGTCGGCAAACTGCGGCCCCTTGAGTGTGGCTCTTCCACAAAATACCACGTGCAGGCGCGCAGGTACAGTGGGATTGAAACTTCGTGGCCACACTCAAGGGGCCAAAGAGCCGCATGTGGCTCGCGAGCCGCAGTTTGCCAACCACTGTCCTAGGAGGCAGTGACTTCATCCAAGTTTAGACTTTTGTTGTTGGCCAGCAGTCTTCCCCAGTGTCTGTGTCCTGGCTTGTCAATGTCAGGTGACCCACGGGAGCCTTTAAGGGACGCTGAGCATACCTGGCCCCGGGAGAGCTCGTCAGAGCGCTGGTCCTTTAAACACATGCACCTGTGCGTGTGCACACCACATTGATGTGTCTGCCCACCAGGGGGGCTGCCAGCTGCACCGGGCTGACCGTGCACGTCTCTGGGCTCAGATGTGCTGAGCGTCATGGAAGTGGCAGCTGCTGTGGTGTCTCTTCCCAGAAAGCTGCCCGCAGCCCAGCTGGCTGTCCCATGGCCAGTGTGGTGGTACCAGCATTTCTCCCCAGCAGGACTGGTGCTTTCTGCAGAGCGGAGAACGGGTGCGGTCGTGTCGTTTCTGGCTTTGATTTATTGCCAGCCCTGGAAGAAGGGGGAGAAGATTAAGTAGTAATTTAGTGAAGAGCAGATCCTTTCAGGTGGAAGTCAGTTTATGCCATACTCACCGGGACACAGGGCTTCCCGAGTGGGCGCCGGGAAGCAGTTTATTGCTTTCTTGTGAGATGTCAGTCCCGGAGCTGGCAGGGGCCAGGACGAAGCAAAACTCTCACCCTGCTAGTTGTCTGGTATGAGTGGGGGCTCTCAGACACCTGAGGGGGACGCGTTCCAAACTGGACGGCGACATCAGACCTCCCGGGAAAGGGGGGCCAGCGTGGTCCAGAGTCAGGGGTGGGTCTTAGGGCCCGGCTCTGCTGGGAGCTCTCTGTGGAACCCCGGCAAGTCCCTAGACCTCTCTGGGGACTGGATTTCGGCATCTGCAGAGTGAACAAGCACCTGCTCTCTAGCTGTGACGACCGGGGCGGGTCCTTCTCAGGGGCAGGCCGGGGTGCGTGAGAGCCCTCGCCCTACAGGACACCTAGAGTCAGCGTCCAGCCCCTGCCGCCCTGCGGGGGTGAGCCCGGGTGTACACCTCCGGACCAGGTTCCTGTCTGCGCAGCCTGTGGTATTAAGTTGACCTTGAATGAACTGCTTAATGGCCCCTCTTTGTTCCCCTAATTGTGTTCCTGGGAAGAAGCAGAGGAATAAGTAACAGGCAAATGGCTCTTGTGATGAAATAGCTTCTGGCTTCCAGGTGGCTTTGGTAAGGAGGCTCCTGCTGTGCCTCCCACAGCCTTGGCCAGGGGCTCTGGTCAGGCTCTCAAGGGGCGAGGGGCGGCCTTGCTACCATCCAGGGGCCAGCTCATTTCTCTGAGGCTGCGGGATCCTTGCCGTCTCCTTAGGTGGAACCCGGAGAGCTGTGCCTCTGGGAAGCAAAACCGAGACGAATCACACACCCACGTCGGTGCGGTGAGCTGTGCCGCATGGCAGTGCAGGAGGGCTCTGTGCGGTCAGAACCTCACTCGTGAGGAACCACCATTTGTCCGGTGGACGGGGAGCCCCCTTCCCCTCGTTCACAGTGTGCGCTTGTGCTAGAGAGGCTGCCCAACAGGAGACTGTGCTGTGGTTTGCTCTCCTGAGAGCTAGTACACGATCGATCATTCATAATGTGCCTGTGAAACTGTTGGGTTCTTAGGACAGATGAGCCAGAATTACCCTCTGAAGCCAGGGTCTACTCCTCTCCCTTGGGCGGTTGGAGCACTAATCCAGAGCTTCGCTGCTCTGGCCCCACAGCTGTGGCCCCTGGCCCTCGGCTGCGGGAGCCAGTCGGCAGTGCAGGAGCAGCTGTGGTCCAGTTCCTGCGTCAGACCCGTGGCTGCCTGGACTGGGGCTCTCTCAGTTGACAGAGCTGCCTTTCCTCTACTGAACCACTACTGCCTCACCACTCGACTGTTTTCAGAACAAAGATGGCTGGAATTCATTTAAAATGTCTTCTCTATATATAAAAGGCTAATATGCAAAGTGTCCCCTCAGGAGTTCGACCTGGAGTTTGACCGGGAGACCGCGCGTTCGACCACTCGCTATGACGTGTGCTGGCCACCAGGGGGCATCACGGGACGAAGGAAGGCCCTGGCTGGCAGCCAGAAGGCCCCAATTGGCCAGGCCTAGGGAACCTATCCGTGCATGAATTTTGTGCACCGAGCCTCTAGTTATCATAAATGCAGTGGAAGCTGGCTTTGAGGGCCTGGGAAGAAAGGCTACAGAAATAGAGGACTCACAGAGCACTTCGTCCCTGTGAATGTCAGTTCCTGCGAGGCGGGAGGACTCCAGCCTCAGGTGGTCCTGTGCCTGTTCGCAGAGATCTGGAGAAAGAAGGCTTTCATGCTCCCCTGGGAAGTAGCCACGAGAAGAGATTGTGCAGATCACAGTGGAAACGGGGGAGGGCCATCTTGGGTTTTATTTATGGTTTTTTGAAAGATAAAGTGTGGTAAGGAAAGGGGAGTGTTTTAATCAAAGGCCATTGCCAAGTGAGGTCCTGGTGCATATCCACAGAAGCAGTGGTGACCCATGGGACGCTTGAATCCTTGACCTTCTCCCCCGCTTTCCCCCTTCCCCCTCCTCTCAGGTGAAAAAGGAACCAGTAATCTCAGATTTGTTCAGCATAACCTGCTGGGGCTGTAGTCACTGGCATGAAAAGTCTGGGTGTTTTTTCTCTTAGGTCTTGGCCATGCGAGCCCGGGTTCAGGAGAGCACAGCCAGGGAGGAGGAGGAGCATCCGTATGAGCTGCTGTTAAAGGCGGAAACAAAGAAGCTGCCAGCAGTGGACGGAAAAACAAAAGGTACAAACACCCACCCCCCC